ACACCTCAACACCCCCCCCACATATGTGCCACACACCCAAGTACGTATTACATGCACATGACACACAGAGATGTGCATTATACCTATACCCCCACACCAGATACCTCCCACCAGTCCACCTCCCCAACCCCCAACCACTCCACACTCTTCTCTGGGGTTCTGAACCTTGTCCATCTCTGAGACTCAGCCCAGGTCCAAGGTGTTGGTGACAAGCCCCAGGGGCCATTCTTTGTGGTCCATTCCAAAATTGATGGCTGGTCCCTCTCACCTGACACATTTCAAATGCTGCTTGGGAGTGTGATGTGTCTTTAAAATCTTCACTATAGGCATTTGTTAGAGTTTTGATTGTGAACTGAACAAGATGCAGTCTCTGATAACTATTGCTCAGAGAGCGATTTAAGAGAGAAAGGCCACAGCCCACATTCCTGGTGCTGGATTCTTCCAGTTTCATTCCTGCTATGTGTGACCATCAGAAAGCAGAGTACCTGGGTCATATTATCTCAGTTGCTCTCATAAACGTTTCCATGAGTTATGCTTTAATGTCAGGCCTCTAGCTTTTATCGAGGGTCGATACGAGAATCATCTGGTCGAACAACATTTTGGTAGCTTTTGTAAAACTGCAGCTGAAGACATCGTTCACTGTGTCACTCAGTGTCCTTTACACAAGGATCCACACGATAAATTCTGGCTTGTGTTTAGTTCCAGGAAGAAATTCTATTTCTGCAGATAAATTAGTCAGTATGCTTCCTGCTGTCAGAAAATGAAAGCTCTGTAACTCTGGGTGCTTCACTTCTTGCTTAGCGGCTAGACGAGGGAGAGGCAAATTTATTGCCTGTGTGTGTAATTTGCTCAGCTGTGGGGTCCAAAAGCACTTACTCCTTCTACTTCTTTTAAATGGACTTATTTTATTTTATGTTCAAATGTCTCATTGTACTTTTGCAAGATGTGTGAGTCTGGAAGCCATCTGGGGAAGCATTCATTTGCCCACTGATTTGACCAATTTATTGCTCGTTTTGGCTGCTGGGGATACAAAGATGAATTCGGCTGCACCCAGTTTTTAAGAAGCTCACATTTTAGTGTTCAGAAAAGCTATGGGAATAAATAATGGCAAAACAAGCTGGTGCACTAAGAGATGTTTGAGGCCAGGGGAAGAGCAGCCGTGGGAGGCGGGGTCACAGGAGGCTTCACGGAGGGGTCAAGGCCAAACTGGTTTTGCTGTGCTAGTGGGAAGAGGATAGTGAATAGAGGAGTACATGTTTCTGAATCTGAAATTTGAAAAGGGAGCTCTTGTATCTATCTGTCTCTCTCTCTCTCTATCTATCTATCTATCTATCTATTTATTGTGTATGTCCCCTCACTTTGGTTAGGTTGGAAATTCTAGGAGGGCCCCACTGGATCTGTGCCCCTCTGTGGGCTCCAGTATGCTGGGCAAGGTGCCCAGGGCAGGTGCAGTGTGGTAGCTGGACAGAGACTCAGAACCAGGCTGCTTGGCTTTGTATTCTGAGCCGAGCAGAGTTAGGCAGGTTTGCTTAACTCCTCTGGGCCTTAGCTGTGAAGGAGATAATAATGATGTCTACCTCATGGGGATGTTATGAACATTAAAGAAAATACACTTAGAGAAATTATACACATGCCCAGCTCATGGTAAAATACTCAGGAACGCATCTGCATTATTAACAATCCTTTATCGTTTAGGGTAGCTGGGACGACTGAGTGGCACGCACTCGCTGGAGTTCAGCAAAGCCCTCTGGACTGTCCTTTACCAGTGATGCCTGCACTAAAACACCGTTGTTTTATTGTCTCCTGAATGAGTGTGTGGGAGCCAGTCTCTCCAAGTCCTCAGTCACTTGTGTTTGTGGATGATGCCCTTAGAACTGGTCACTGATCTGACTCTTCAATCCCCAGCTCTAGCTCTCAGACCTAGGGAGCCTACAGGGCCGGAGCTTCTCCTGCCTTATTTCTATCTTCATTCATTGCCCTGTCCACTGCTTTTCAAAAAGACTGGGGTTGGTAGATGTTTATAATTCCTGATGTTCCTCAGGCAGGTGGTAAACAGAAAGCCATGGTCTGGACTTTCAGCCAGAAAAGGAGTAGAAATCCTTATAAAACCGTGTGTGTGTGTGTGTGTGTGTGTGTGTGTGTGTGTGTGTGTGCGCACGCGCATATACACTGCACATACAACTGGCCTCGAGAGGGGTACTTGTCTGTTTGCCAGTGGTGTGGTTGTATTAAATAGCTGCTCTCAAAAAACAACAACAACAACAAAAAACGCCTGGTTTGCTGGGCACCAAAGCACATGCCTGCAATCCCAGTGTCTCAAGAGGCCGAGGCAGGAGGATCGCTGAGTTCAAAGCCAGTCTCAGAAAAAGTGAGGTGCTAAGCAACTCGGTGATACCCTGTATCTAAATAAAATACAAAATAGGGCTGGGGACGTGGCTCTGTGGTCAAGTTATCCTGAATTCAATCCCCAGTACCCCTCCCCCCATAAAAGGCTGGGTTTTATAACAATTTATGGCCAATTTCTTTGGTGTAAATTCTCCACCATGTCTGATTTCAAGCTCCCAGTGTGATGTCACTAATGTAGACTTGAGAAGACGTGCTCAGCAGCATACAATCATCTAATCTCTTCAGTACACTTTATAGTGGATGCAGGTAATTCAAATGTTGTAAATTAATTAATGAATCTTTTGTTTAAAGATTACTTTTGTTTAAAAATAAAATTCATTAAATTCTAAGCATACAGAATTTGATTTCCAAACGCCTCCCCAAGTTCCTGCAACATTAACATCTTGGTCTAAGGTATGAGATGACTGACTGCCCCTCGCGACCTCTTGTGGATGCATGGAGCCTCCGACAGCACCACTAGGTCTTTGTTCCTTTGGGGTTCGCCATTGCCTTTGTACCTATTTCCATGGGCGCGCATCTGCTTTTACACAGAGACATGTTCCTATGCAAAATAGGTGGGAAAACCTCATCTGCTCAGGTTTATTTATTTCCCCCAAACCAACCGCACCTACACGGATACTTAGGAGCAGGCAGGTGGGGAAAAGAAAGAGAGAGAGAGAATAACAGGGGCATATTTAAAACCGAGGGAGAGGGAAACTGAAGAGATAGGCAAGGAAATGGAGCCAAAAGGACAGAAGAGAGCAGGACAAAGGAGCGGATGGGGCACGACGCATCCAGTCCCTTTGCATCTGAAGCCCACATGTGAGGGAGCTGCAGGGGCACTGTCCCTACTGTCGTTGTCGCCCAGGCCTGCGGCAGGGTCAGTCTGGAAGCCCTGTAAACAGTCTGGGGTGTCCAGGTTCCGCTCCACCAGAGGAACCTGCTGCTCGCGGTCACCTGGGACGCATGCGCACTGGCGGCCCAGACTTGCCCCAGACAGGCTCCCAGGAGCCTGGACAGCGACCCGGCTGTTGGTCTCACAATGGCGGCTGGGGGATGTGAACACCTCTTCTCTAATTGGGTTAGTGTGCTTTTTAAAAAAATAGGCATTTCCAAAGCTCTTAATTAAACCTCCGGCCAGGCTGCTTTCTGTTTGAAGTTTGCTGATGGCTTCAGGCAGAGCTGGGCCCCCGCTGACCCTGGCACCTGCCACAGTTGAGAAGTCTCCAGGGACATGAGCGGGGAACAAGGGCCTGCGGTTGCGACTGAGAACATGCTGCGGTGTTCCAAAGGCCTGGGAGTGTCTGTCCCCGCTGGACGGGTCAGGTCAGGGAGGGCCTGGGCTGGGGAGCAGAGAGGACAGAATAGCTCTTGCCCTGAAAGTCACAGGAATGGCTTGCCAGGCCCCCGGAGCCAGTGGCATTTTTCACATCATGATGTCTCGCAAGCCAGGGTCATGAAGGCTAGAGGACAGGCTGGAGTTTTGAGGGCCCGATGGCAGCTCTAGGGGCGGACTCCACATCCAGGGGCCTGCCCAGGGTGAGCAGGGCAGGGCTTGGAGCCCAGGGGGTCCACTTGACAACTCTTCCAGCAGAGGTCATTGAGCCTGCCCGGGACCAGCTCAACCAGCTATTAGCCCAGGACAGCTGGCCAAGGCACTGAGCAGAGAGTCAGTCCTGAGGTGCAGGCCCCTGGCCACCGGCCGGGGGGCAGGTCGTCTGAGCCCTCAGTGCCAGGCTCAGCCGTGGGAGCATGGAGCACCAACCAGTGTGGCTTGGGCTTGCTGCTCCTGCCTCTGGTGTAGTCAGTTGTTATTCCACATTATCATTATTCGTACTTCTGAAAGGCAGTGACCCATCTCCCTCAGCGTCCAAGTTACTAGGGTCCACCGGGCCAGTACTCATACATTCAGGACTCTGTCCCATTTCCCTGCTGTCGGCCCTGGGCGCTGGATTTCTCTAGCTGCAGGTCACTGCAGGGTCCAGGCCACCTCCAGGGGAGACGAGAGGCTGGGCCCCGGCTAGCTGGGGAGGGCAGGACCCCTGCTCTACCAGCCTGCTGGAGAGCTGCACGGTCCCTGGGTGACTTCCTTGGGTCACATGTCAAAAGGAGGCGCTTTCTACAGATGCTCGCTGGTGAGAGGGTGTGAAGGGCCTCTTGGAATGTGACCTACGGGTCTAGTGTCTGCACGTCAGTGTGCTGAGGTCCCAATCGCTGGAGCTCACTGGACACTGGACCCCGGGGTGGGGGTGGCAGAATCTCCTTCACCTGTCAAATGCACCTCTCTTTCTGGACTTGTGAGGATGGAAGGGGACAGTGCACATCAGGTTGCTGCAGACGGGCCACTGTTCCATTATTCATTGTCATTGATGGGGTTAGAAGTGGTTCTAGAAAGCTCAGAGAAGGACCCGGATGTAGGGGGTGGACACAGGGGATGTGGGTGGGAGGGGCCCGCAGCATGAGACGAGTCTGGAAGGTAGGGGGAGGAGAGCAGGGGTGGGAGTGAGGGGCACCTGGGAGCCACGCCCACAGCAACCCTGGCTTCCCTCCCCTGCAGGGCCCTGCTCCATCTCCACCCCCCACCTCCCTCCCCACGGCCTTTGCTCTGTACTCACCTAGAGCCACCTGCTGTATGTGCCGCCGGGTGATCTCCTCCTTCAGGTGACCTGTCAGAGACAGAGTGAGTCACTAACGGGTCTCCAGTGGGCCGCAGGAAGACCTGCCTCAGGAGCATGTGGCCAGCTAAGCGGGGAATGAAAGGTACAGATGCAAGGAGACAGAAGCAGGCACACCTTCCAAGGAGAGCCCCAAACCCCATTTATGTCCTGGGTTGTGCTGAAAGAAATGCTGCCAGGGCAGGCACTGGCTTGTCAACACCAATATACTCCTCACCCTTGGACTCAATCACAGGGCTCATTTGTCATCTGTCATAACTCATAACCTTTGCTAGGGCCTTACTCTCTTAAATAGTTCTTTTTGTCTGTTATTAATAAAGGGGGAGGCAGGATTTGGTCTTTCAATAATTTATCCTCTTCATTCTTTAAGTGATATGAAACTGTGTCAAATTAAAAAAAGAGTAGTTTTAATTGACTGTTTTTAATCTTAACAGTTGATTAGTAGGTATAAAGTCACATAATTTTAGGTTGCATCAATAAAGCTATAGTGGCTTGAACAAGGGAGGTGATATTCCATTGTATTCTGCAGTCTTGAGATCACAGTTGGTATTTGTTCTGGGAGCTTCCTTCACAAGAAGAATCGAAGGATGGGTGACTAGGATAGTTGAGAGATCTGAAATTATGCCATTTGAGAAACATTTGAGGTAACCTGAGATATTTGGAGGGAGAAGAAAGGTTAGAGGGAGAGGAGGCAGAGAGGTAATGGCTGTCTTTGGATAACTGTATGCTGTCATATGGATGAAGGAACAGATTTATTTTGTCTTCCTCCTGAGGGCAGAAGTCAAATCAAACAAAGGCAGACTTTGGGGCTCAAACAGAAGGCAGAGAGCTCACAATGAGCACTGTTTCAAAATGGATTAAGTTGTCTCAAATGGATTAAATCTCCCGGCACCGCAGCCAGCTGCTTCTGGAAGGTGCTGGCGCAGAGGCTGGGTGATCATCGGAAGGACGTCCTGCCCCGGGGAGGAGCGGGGCTGCTGGCCACCAGGCCACCTTCGTCCCACCCTCCCCTGATTTCAGGTTGAGGGTGGCCGACAGCACCTGGCCTGCTTGTGTCTGGGTGCAGCCTGCGTGTTGGGATGTCAGTGCTGTCTGCGTCACACGGCCCTGGGGAGGGTGACGAGCCCCGGGGGATTCCGGGACCCCCTTGTCTGATATATTTCTTTCCTCAGGTGAAGTACATGGTACAGCTCCGAGGCTGCAGCTGGACCCAGGAGCTAGACCCTGAGCAGACAGAGGAGGGGTCACGGGAGACCTGTCACTCACAAGGGCCAGGACACTGCCAGGACAGCATGATGGGAGGGAAGGCAGAGGTCACGCCTCCCAACTTCCCAGCTGATTCAGTATCCTCTGCAGAATGAGGTGGCCTCTCCCCTGCCTGTGGGTCCAGCCCGTCCCACTGAGGAAGGTGTCCAGGCGGGCTCTGTCCTGCCGAGTGTCACCTGCTTGCCTGTGACTTTCAGTTATTGGGCTGCTCAGTCCTCTGCACCAGCACAGAAAGGACGGTCCCTCGCTGGCAGGGACAGCCCTTCCCCCAGCTCAGGACACCATGCTTTCTGTGCTTCGTTTGCTTTGGTTTCTTTGGCTGTGGTGGTGCTGAGGGGGACCGGGCCTGTGCGTGCCGGGCAAGACCTCTGCTACCCACGACACCCCACTTCCTCCCTGCTGAGCCTTCCCAGTCCCCCGGGGGGCCCTCAGAGGCCACTGCCTCAGCACATCGCCATGGGGGAGGGCTTGGGTCCCTGCATGTCTGCCCCTTGCCTTCCATGTGTCCCCCCTGGGGAGGAAACTGCAGGAGAGGAAGCCTGAGCAATGACTGTCCCTAATTCTAGGTGGGGAAGCGCAGGGGCTTCAGGGGAGCTTGAGGGGAGCTGGGGAGGGGAGGCCTGGCTGGGTGGAGAATACTGGCGAGCCTGAGGTCACCATGAAAATGACCTGACACTGGGCCAGCCACAGCCACAGCTGGGATCTCCCGGCACTGTATGCGACGTGGCCTTGACTGTCCCCGTCAGTGGAGTGAAGCAGCGGGGGAGCACAAGGATGGTGCTGGCCGAGGCTCCGGTCAGTGGCTGGGCTCTCAGGAAGCCTGGCGCTTGCGCACTCCCAGTGCAAGGAGATGCAACCGCGGCAAATGCAACACACCCCGAGAGACCTCTGGGTTCAGCGCGGGGCACGGAGCTGCTCTCTTCTCCACCACGTGCACAGCTCAGGCCTCGACCCCTGCTTGTGCCTGGATGTCTGGTACAGGCACCTCACCCTCGGCCACTCCCATGCCTGGGAACTGCCCTCCGGCCAGCCAGGGAGTGACTTGCTCCTTTAACATACATGCTGGGCTCCTTCTGCCCTGCAAAGCTGCCTCCAACGGTGGGCCTCCAACCTCAGCCTTGCACACAGTAGGTGTTCAACCTCCCCAGTCACCACTTCCTTGCTCCTGGGGAGCTCCTTCCCCCAGGCCCTGGGGAAGCTGCGTTGGGATGAGGGGTCGAGGGTTCTCCACAGCCCCTGCTCAGTCATGTACATAAGGGGGGATTTTAACCAGGACTGAGAGTTCTAGAAAGTCCTCAAACTTAAATACTTATTCTTAGAATCAGGAGGCACCCCTAGGGGCCGAAGCTGGGTCTTTATGATGCCGCATGTTGCTGAACGCAGCTCTGAACCCGCAGCCACACTCAGCTTTGGTGAATGGACTCGCATTTGCCCCTCTGCCCCCATGGCAATTTTTTGGAGATCTCCCCAAACAAGCTTCCCAAAATAGCCATGTGGCCGATGTCTAATTGCGTTTTCCAGCAGAGCCATCCATCAAGTGAAGATAGCAGTGTCTGTAATCTGCTGGATCTTGCAGCTCCACGGGTTTTGGCAAAAGCAGGGGTTGAGGGGGATTGCAGAATCCACTGAGCATGCAGCTTGCTGTCATTACCACCGTGATAAATTTGCTGGTTTTGGCCTGGGTTCCTGGACACATCCCCATCCAGAGGTATGGAAAAGAGATGAAACGGAAACAGAACTCCCAGCCCGAGGCAGGAGACAGTCTAGGAGGGAAGCAGGGAGCCTGAATCAGGGTCAAACCCAAAGGGGGAGGGCAGGGCAGGAAAGCGCACAGAGGAGAATGTTGGTAGTTAGCGACTTAAACAGTACCTACTGGTAACACCTTCTCTCCCTTTCTGTCCGTTAATTGTTGGAGTGGGTGGCAGTGAGGGCGGAAAGGTACTCTGTGCCTGCAACCATTCATAGGAGGTATTTGGCCCTGAAAGCAGCCACACGCAGGGCCTGTTCTCTGTTACAAACTCTGTACAAAATCTGCACAACTGATTTGAACATGGATAACTGGTTTTTTTTTGGTTACAACAATTTTCCTTAATGCTTCACACTTTGTTTTGCATGCATAGTAGTTTGAGATTATTCATGAAATGAAAGCTGCTTGGCCAGGCCAGAGGACAGCAAGCCATTTATGACCCCTGACAGGGCTGTTGCAGGCTGCTTCTGAGATGTCTGTGACGCTGTGCCTGTTGAGGATGCTCATGTTGCTATCAAGCAATAAACATTTATTACTCATCTACTATATGTTAAGCACTATGTTCTAAGTACTGTAGAATATACAAATTAAGAGAAAATTCTATCCTAGCCAAAAAAACAAAAAGTAGCACAATACAGGGATCGGCAAATAGGTGACTTGCATGCCCTTGCTTTTAGACTCTGGACCTATGGCTGACCTTGCTCCCTGTCATGGTTGCTGTATTAGGTTGTTGTGTTACTATAATAAAACACCTGAGGCAAGCTAACTTAACAAGAGGTTTATTTAGCTCACGGTTTTGGAGGATGAAGTACAAACAGCACAGTTCAGGTTCTTGTAAGGGCCCCACTCAGCTGTGTCACCTCAAGGCAATGGTGGGAGGAAGAGATCACATCACCAAAGAGGAAGCCAGAGTCCCACAGTCCCTGAAAGGGCATGCCCCCAGTGACCTAAGGCCCTCCCAACAGGCCTCACCCCTTGTGGGTCCCACCTTCTAACATTGCCACGTTGAAGACCAAGTTTCCAACACGTGAACTTTCAGAGGCACATGTACACCACGTCCAGACCATAGCAACTGGTTTGTTTTTCTGCTGAGTCTGAGCTTGGCTCTTCAACGCAGCATAGAACCAATCACTTGGAGTTGGACTTGGGATGAAGCAAACCCCTTTGCCCTTTTGGTTATATCAGAAAGTAATGGCACATTTGGAGACAGCCAGAGTTGCGTTCAGATCCTAACTCGCTACTTCTTAATTGGGTGGCCTACTTAGTATCTCAAAGCCTCCATTTAATCATTTGAAAAATGAGAATGATAACATAACTGCAATAATACCTGCTTTTAAGGGACAATGCACTGGTATAATATTCTCTGCTAGTTTTAGGTTGAGACCCTTTCAGGCGGATTGAAAGGACACCACATTACTCAGGTTGCTGAACTACGAGAGCAGCCGCAGAGGCGAGTTTTCAGGAGGGAAGGGTGGCTTAGGAAAGGCAGCTATCAGAGGTGAGATTCAGAGCAGGGTGCTGAGAAAGGTGCTCAGCCAGAGCTAACTGCTGGGACAAGGCGCAGAAGAAGGTCAGCCGTGCACTAGCTGGGGCCAGGCGCTGGAGGGACCGCTGCAAGGGGGAGCAGAGCTGGGGCAGGGAGCTCCTATTCTGGGGTCCTAGGTGATTACTGGGGACTCTGGGTCCAGGTGACACCTCGTCTTCTGTTCAACTATACTCCTGTAGTATCCCAGTAAGCTCAAGTTAAAATCAACGTCAGTAGTTAGAGCTGGGGTGCGCAGAGAACACCCAGACCTCCTGCCTGAGGGCCTCTTTGAAATGGGAGGTCCAGTTAGAGGTTCTGAATGCCGAGTGTTGATTTCAGGGATGACTTAGAAAAGCCAGTCTTTTTTTTTTTTTTTTTTTTGTACTAACACAGAGGATCTGTGATAACCAAAACGTTAGATCCCTAAAGGATGTTTGTAGGGCTGTTTGTAAA